CACTTGACCTCAGCTTAAAAGTAAGTAGTATAACGAGCAAGTGCAATTCCCATACCTAATATTATCTTTCATAGGAAATATTCACTGAATAGAGCTGAAGACAACGTAGTAGATAAATGAAGAAAACAGATGCCGAATAATATGAACGGATTGTTAAATTGAATGAAGCTTATATTAAATTACATCGAAATATACTGAAGAAAAAAGCATGTATTATAGACTTCGATAGTGGCTAGCAATGGAATCCAGGACGCGTGTTTCATCCAATTTGGAACTAATCAGCTGTGCGTACCTGCATCTCGAACTTGGTTTCCGCGCTGGTACCCGAGCATAGTACCGTTCTCTTCAAGCTCCATCGTGCTATTCACTTAGCTCCTGAATCCAGATAGCCCATCAATACGAATAAATCAAACTTCACTCCATTGTACAAGTTAGTGGCTATCAGAATTTTGTATAGTTTTATTTCCTTACTTACCTGCCAATTGAAACCTTTCTCATTCCTTAGTTTTCCAGGAACGCAATCAACGTTGATAAACAGATATGTGAGTAATCCCTCAACTCGTTCGGCTATAAATCGTTTAGCACTATTCGATGGATTATATTTTTGAAGACTACTTATTTGACCACGAAACAATCTAGAAATGATAGTATTAATCATGTAAAACTCTGAACATACTCTAAATCATTTGACAAGATTAAAAGAAATCATTACATAAGTGGATATTTGCGTTATGTATCGTGAGTATTTTACAAATGTTTCGCACGAATGAATACTGGTTTCCCAAGAACAGATGTTAAAAGTTACGGAAATAAAAATGAGAGAAACTAAGAGGCAAGGAAAGAGAAAAGGAATTTACGATCGAAATTGCAATCCTAGTCGTTACGTAACTGTCAGTGAGCTACTGACAACAACATACATCCAAATGAATGCATCTAATCAAGGCGTTTTGATTGTGACAGCTTTGATGGAGAATAATAGGTCGAAAGTCATTTGCTCATTGATTGTTTTGAAGAACATTGGGATATAACCTTCACGTCTAGTATCAAATGGATGATAAGAAAAATGCTGTTGACCTCTTGGTCTCAATTTACGTTGAATGTGGTCAAAGGTGCAAACAACACTTTATCTTTCTGATTTTCCAATGTGCATTCTTCGACATGTACATATTACTTAACAAACGTAATCGGAGGTAACATGAGACGAATATTCGTCAACTTCCGACAGTCGCACTGAGCGACTCTGTTTGGTATTGAGACTAGTTTAGTTGCTGGATAGGCTCATTTAAATACAACTCGTAGTCTATAATCAATCCATTCATGTCTTTACTTACGTTACACTATTATTTAATCCATTTCCATAGTTTTATTGCGTAGCTTTTAACATTAATAGTTCAGTAACCTGTTTTCATGACCCTTGAAAGGAAACCTCGTTCTAGGAATCCAGTGTAGGTTGAGGTTCTGACAGGAAAATGTCGTAAGAAAATAGGGGCAACATCGGAAATCGAGTAACCAATCCGCTTCATTCGACACACCAAACTGTTGCAAAAAATATACATGCTTACATAGATAGTCAAATATTTTATTGCGCTCCAAGGCGTGTACGGTAGCCATTATCAAAGGAGCCTATTACATTCACTCAGTCAGCTACAACGTAGGACCAGGCACATATATACATTGGCCCAAGTTTCCATACCTCATCGGCACAACAAGATGAACTCCAGATTCATAGAAGCAGTTACTTCAGTGGTAATAATATATAAAAATGAGGATTATATATAAGGATATGATACAGAAAGAATTAGTTCGTAGAAAGAAAGGTATAGAGTCATTTTAATCTCACGGTTTAAAGGAAGACGAAGAGTGTATACACCTACTCCAAAGTGATCGATTCTCAGCCATGTCACCTAGTCTCCAGCCATTGGTTACGATAGTCGCGCAGACCGCAACCAAGTAGTTCGCATCTACCAACATGACTCAGACAAGAAGTTAGTGACTTTATGGACTGATCCCACGTTTTAGTCTTGCCATCCCTGACTTTCTTCCATTAGGGTTGATCAGACTCCCAAAATAAGTGAAGTTGTCGACACGTTCGGCCACTTCACTCCTTGTCCTTAGTTCAGGTGTTGACGCAGACCAGTCCTGAAGCAACAACTTGCATTTAAAGAGGAAGAAACGCATCCCAAACATGATGAAATTGCTGCTCAGTGCTACTAAAAGACTCTGCATTTTATTAGCGTCTTCACCAAACATGACTATATCATCTGCGTACTCTAAGTCGATAAAGGGAACCTCCTGAAAGGAGATCAATTCCCGATAATTCGGTCGACGAGAACGTTATTTCCATCAATAGGTCTATGATGAAATTGAACAAAAATGGAGATAGTGGACAGTCTTGACGGACACCACCTGAGACTGCGAAATCAGATGACAGTTCGCCATAAGTTCTCACTCGACTAGTAGTGTTCGAGTAAAGAACCTTCACAAGGTTTATGTACTTCTGAGGTACACCTTTCAATGACAGACAATGCCACAGAATTTTTCTGTCTACAGAGTCGAATGCTGCTTTTAAGTCAAGAAAAACTATAATTGTCGGATGCCGATAAGCATCCCCGCGTTATAAAACCTGACGAATGGTGAATACGTGGTCGATGCAGACACAACCAGGTCTGAAGACAGCCTGATTTTCTCGTATTTGCAGTCTTTGTTAGACGTCCGATAATTGAGGCTAGTATTTTAGATGCTATATTAGTCAAACAAATCCCTCTATGGTTATCTTAGAATGATTTTTACCCCTTCTTATATATTAGGATAATCAGTGATTGCGACCAGTCAGATGGGCTTATGTCCAACTTCCAGATTTTAGCTGAAATACTAGTCAAGCTGATCGCTAAAACTGAACCACCACCCTTAAGGACCTCTGGAGCCAGTTCACCTGCTCTTCCTCGTTTTAGATTAGCTATAGACTTTTGAATTTCAGAGTCGGGGGACCTACTTCAATGTTCCATTAAGGCTGTCTGGAAATGGTGAGTAGTTGTAGAGTAGCTGAACTGCCCTTAAAGTGTTTGAGCTGAGGGCAAATAAGAGTCTGTCTCCCAGGCCGTCTCACTTACACTTGATTTCTTAATTCCAGTTTCTTTTATTAGTCTGAAAAGCTGTCTCATGTTATCTACAGCCACTGCCTTTTCCATCTCTTTTGCTTGCGTTGCCCATCAATGCTCACGGTCGTTCCCTAGATTTTTGGTTAACCTATATCTGATTTGTTTTCGCTCTTCATCTTGTTCGGAGCCAGATGGGATGAGTTTATGAGAACCTATCAGTGCAATGAACTTGGGAGAAATCCACCGGCTTTTCGTAACCCTTTGATTTAAATCATTAATAGATGTCGCTGCTGTTTCTACATCATTCCAAGCAACATCTGGGTCAAACTCCTTTTCCGAACTGCCTAAATGTAGCCTCAGTTGTTCCTGGAATCTCATTTTGGTTTTCTCGTCACTAAGTTCAACTCTAGTGAGTCTTCTTAATGTTGTGAGGCGCAAGCGTATGCGTGCTCGTATTAGAGCATGATTACAGTCTAAGCATGTACACCAGAACACGCAGCAGTTTACTATTGAGGCTCTCCAATGATGACTGGTGGCAATATGGTCTATTTGAGTTCATCGTTGGTTCGCTGCAGGGATTCGCCATGTCAGACGATGTATCTCCTTATGCTTAAACTTAGTGCTTGCTAAAAATAAACGATTGTCTGAGTATAGTTGCAACAGACGATCACCATTATCTGTTCGCTGAGCCGGAATACTAAAATACCTACCTAAATGTCTTCCTCTTTGGTTTAAGCTACCTACTTGGACATTAAAGTCACCTGCTACGAGTACTATGTCTGAGGTTTAGCTTTTTCAATAAGTTGAGAGAGCTTTCTGTAAAAGTCATCCTTCACTTCATCCAGACTGCAGTCAGTGGGAGTGTAGACAGGAACGACGAAAAGACAAAGACGTGTGTCCCTATACTTACAGAGTTGTTTAGCCGGACAGCACATAGGTGACTGTTAACAGAGACCCATTCCAATAATGCTTGTTCAGCCGTCGTACTTAGTGCTATGCCTACACCTGTCAGTCCACGAGAACTAGCTATCGGGTAGCCAGATAAACGGAGGATGTATCTCGTCGACTCTTCGTTATGGCGAGGTGAGGTCGAGTGACCATACTGTGGTCATATATGCGTGTTTCGGAGACGCAACATACATCAATAGTACGAGATTCTAGGGTTTTAGCCAATGAAGCCTGCTGACCGATTTGACATAGGGTGCGTAGGTTGAAGGCTCAAATGTGTAGTTTGGAGCGAAGTTTTAGTAGACCTGGGACAGTATTTCGCACACTGGAATCGTTGACCATGGTGACACTTGAGGAAGTCAAAAGACGAATATTAGAGTTAAAAGTCGAGGTTGGAGAAATAATAGAAATTGAAGGAGACTGATTATGAATACAGTGACCTTGAGTGCTGTTAGAGGTATGAAGGCTGTTACCGCTTCATGGTTGCCCACACCGTGGAAGGGTCCTTTTAGAGGTATCTAAAAAGGAAATTGAGTTAGAGGTGCTTTTAGTGGTCTGAGAGCGTGACCAAGGGACAACTGCTCGAGGTCGGTCACACACTACCTTTTTGTGAGTCATTGTGTTAGCTCCGTACTTGTTGGGACCTTACCACCGAAGACAGAGATCTGTCAGATAAGGCAAGATGTGTATTTTTAGGGCCGACCGTTCCTAGCCCCACCCTTCCTCGGTGGGATGAAAGCATCGCCTTTACGCTAGTTGTCGGAGGGAAACACCTTACTACCGTCACATCTTTAAACAGTCAGCAGTAAGACTTCACCCTCGGACCTTAGGTTTGTTGCTTTTAGTCTTACCACTCTTCAACCGACCTATCTAGCATGGCGGGACCTTAAGGAACGACTGTTTCAGCCAGTATAGCTCGATTGGCTCATTACGATAGGCAAGCCCGACCACCACGTCAAGGTAGCAGCAACGGTCGAGGGAGTCTGTTAAACACATATAAAGACTTCGTTTATCACCAGAATCAGTCTAAGTAATTGCATCATTTATTTCAGACCCAACCTCTTTATTCGCTAGTATTGACTGGATACTATTACAAACGTGTTCCGAAACAGTACAGTACACTTGAAAAAAATACGTAAGTACACCGTCTAGGTTGAAATCCAGACGTCGCGACAGAATTTAGAAAAGGTGAGAATCATTTACCTCCATCAGTATTCTCAAATCAAAACTAAACAACTTTTTTTGGTCAGCAGTGGCTGTGATTAGCATACTCAACTAAGGAGCTGTGAGTTCGGAACTTCATTTCACTTCGAGCAATATTGTAATATATATGCACACTTCAAGTGAATAAAATGGCTATAACGAAATGCCGTTAAGTACACTTCTATTCACAGGCCTGACAAATTATTATGACCAAGGTTATCCACACTCTCCCAAGCCTCAAACGTTCTTAATTCTTCCGCACTCACTTTCTGAGCTTCCTTTATTTAAGTGGGTAGGAACTGTTTAACTTGAAATGACATACAGGTTTGGCCAATCCTTTGTCTTAATTACATGAAAATCAAGACCAATGATAGTTAACTTCTATGATAAACAGTTGATACCACTTAAATGTTGGCTTCCGGTGACTGTCGATTCGAGCACCTATGTAATTCCGACTAGTAATGTGCTTAAATGGACAAAAACAAAACCTATACATATGGACTTATAAGATCGAAAATTAGATAAGCAGCGAATAAATTATTTAGAATGAGTTTTCAGAATCAATAGCTTTCATATTTGAAGGATATTTAAATGGGAACACAAACTCCTGCGAAGTTCTTAATACATCTTTTGATAAGTGCAAACATATTTTCAAGGCCCATTCGGAGTGACTTTGAAACATTCAACACGTAAAATTTCTAAAATAAGACTCAGGGCCAGTTTTGTGCTTGTATTGAGTTAAACTAATGATATTATTATAAACTTCTACGTATGAAGATAGAACACATTGTTAATCAGTGCCGAAAATGTGACGTAAGCATAACAAATCCTTCTATACACTAAGATATTGACATGATATGCATATGTTTGAGCAATGCACGGACTGAAGCATAGAGTCACACTATTAAAGTTGCAAACGAAAGCATGAGAATTCCTCTAATTCTAGGTGTTTATTAGTTTTACGAATTGAAGCAATTTTCAAGATATTAGCTACTTAATGGATTCAAATAGCTTTTACTCATATATATGTACACATGTAGAAGTTAGAACGGAAAACTGTGGAATAACTTAATTGGGACAGTGAAGTTCGTCCGCGGTAAACGACGAAGTCCGTAAAAACTACATATCCGAAAGCACTGTTTGACTGTTAGCGTGAAGTCTTTAATTTTATTGAAAGAAACAGATTAAGTGAAGTAAAATCAGATCTTTGAGTGCCAAATTTACAATCATTTCTTAAGAATTTTTGTAAAAATAACATCACATCTCTGCAAAAGCAAAGTCAAATGTTGTTACCTTACAACAAGTTTTAACAGTGTACACCCATATCTCGAAATCATCCAAAAACAACTCATTTGTAAGAAGTCAAAAATAAAATATTCACCAAAACAAAATAATGTTATGTTGAAGACTAAAAAACGTTTTGTAGTGAACGGAAAATAATACAAATTGTTTGGACTGTAAATAAATGTACATTACGATATTATTGTTGTACATTGTTACATATTTGATATTTGGTAAGGAAAATTACTTTAGTCAATAACACCCTACCCCCCTGCATTTTGTTTGGCCCATGCATTGTATCCACCAACAAGATTGAGAGGACTAAAAATAATTCATACATATATATTCGCACTAATAACTTACTTCTCATAACCCAAATCCTGAACGATTTTGAGAGCCCGCATACTTCTGACGCCACTTCTACAACTGAAGACTACATTTTTGTCTGCCACATTCGGCTTCTTGATATTGTACTTCTCTAAGAAACTTTTCTCATCCAGTTTGAAGGCATCCTCGACTTCGCCGACTACAAAATAAAAATACTTTTGCACTTACGTGGAATATTAACAGCATAAGGGATCTTCCCCGTTTGTTCCAACTCGTCAGGTTCTCGAACATCTATCAATTTAAGGTCCTTTGATTTCATCATCTCCTTTAATCTTTCCACATCTATGTCCACCGATCTTCCCGACGTAAACCATCTAGATACTACAAGATAAATTTTCAAGGTTTAAGAACTAGTACAAAGTTTACAAACAACGCTGCTATTTTTGACATATAAACCAGAAGCAGCAACACGAGAACGGCTAGATACAGTTAGAAAACTTTGCAAGAAAACGGTTCGAAGATAAATGGATCGCATCGCGACACCGATTTACTTACTGCGGTCAAAGGGTCTTATATACGATGCGATCAGAACAGCGACGGTTAGAACCAAAAACCAAATCAAAACACTTCCCCGCCCCTTCATATTGACGAAAACAAAAACCTGAGATTGGATGATGCGGGAAATTAAAATAAGAAACCAAATCCGTTGCAATTAGCTGTTGCATCGACAAAACAATAATTATACTAGATTTTGTAAATATCAGCAAAGTTATTTATAAAATTTATCTGTATAGGATAAACATTCTAGGTGCTTCTCGGCATATACTTCCAAGGATATGGAGCCTAATTTAATACTACGAAAAATGAGTTCATTCATTTATTTTTCAAGAATAAGGACTTACATTGTAACTGTCAAACCAGATTCTTTGATTCACACACATCTGATGAATGACTGGTCAACGAACAACTGAAGGGATATACAAGAAAAAACAACATCCTCCATGAAGCCCAGCACGACTACAAGAGAGGCAGGTCCTGTACGTTCAATCTACTAATAGTATGCGAAAATCAGAAAACCTACTGAGACAATAAGACATCTGTTCATTTATTATTCCTCGACTTCTCAAAAGCCTTTGACATACAACCTCCTATACTTCTCAAGGCGGTTAAAAATACAGGATTAACTAGCCCATTTGTAACCTGGCTTCAGAACAAAATGTTTCGTACCCAGATAAGAACGGTGAACACGAGTTGGAAGGTTTCAACATCAGGCTTTCCCCAAGGATTAATCCTTGGCACACTCCTATTCTCGATCATTATTAAAAACCTGTCTCATAGAATTGGCTCAGTGGCACTGATATATGCAAACAACTCGAAGATCTAGAAGCCCATAAAAAGCGAAACGTATTCACTTGAGATTCAAAAGGACCTTACAACAATAGAGTAATGAGCAGTAGACAATAGGTTGGAACATAACACGTCGAAATGTGCTGTCATAAACATTCCACCTCATTAGACATACAGGACTTACTTCTTGCATAGAAATTGACTTCCGATTGTTTCCTCAAAGCATGATTACGGACTTGTGATCACACAGAGCTTATAAACCAGCTAAAACTACATTAGATATGCAGCCACGGCGAACGCAACTCTCCACTTCTGTGTGGATTATTTGGGGCGATCACCACAGATTTGTCCCAAACACTAATTGAAAAGTACACACTACCCCACCTTGAAATCCATAATGTCACTGCATCCCCCTCTTCAAAAGAAGTATAAATCTCCCAGACTAGGAACAGAAACGAGCAACCAGGCGGCTGATAGGTCTAGAACACGGATCTTACGAGGACACACTACAGCACGTGAATTTATTGTCGTTGAGCTACATGAGAAAAGGTGATCCGATGATGGCATGCAACATACCGAGTACGCCGAACCATCTGAACAGTGATTAGCTTTGTGAAGAAATTTGATAAGCACGTACTCTCCCACGGAATACCATCTGCGTGTTAGTCATCATTGACTTGCTTTGTCATAAGTTTTTGTTATTATTCACATTTTTACAGGGGGCTTTATAGTGGCTGGTATTATGTTAAGCCTATATGGGTTATTTTGGCTTCTGGATAGACCATTTTATCTATTATTTTCAAGACACATTTCGACCTTGTTAATTATTCTCCGTTTAAAAATAACCTTTCCTGACGTGTCGTACTGTTAGGAAACATTAACAACGATACTATATGTGACGTACTGATTATAATTATGCAGCAGTGCTATCACCACTACCAGGAATCGCCCAAGTGAGTCTGTAATGTGGTCCCAACAGAAACCAGCCTCTGCATAGCAGAACGAAGCTTATATTATGCCTGGCCAGAATGGTATAGGCTACAAAGTGAGGTGGGTTCGTAGGAGTCTTAATCTTGAACAGTTTGAGTGTCTTCTACATTATGGTGAAGATAAAATATATAAATGAATAAAACGATATCTGAGAATACAAAAATAAGATAGTTAGATGTAAAAATAAAGAAATTGTCACTTGTGGAAAGTGCGCTTGATCTCAACGAACATTACTAAGATGCCAAATAAAGATTTCCGGTATGAAAAGAGCAAACCGTTTACAGAGGACAAACAAGGCAATAAAAAGTGGATTGGCGAAAGTGTGAGCAGTAAAAAAGAAAGGTAATGACATAGTCGAAAGCTGCGGATGACCTTCTAGGGTGATTGGTCCAACCTAGTTAAACTGTTTAGAATCTTCAGGAATCTAAGCGGACAACAAAACAAATGGTATGCACAAGACTTACAGCAGATCGAGTATTTCATTAACAATGTACCATCATTGGATACTTTGAGGATAAAATTTATTCAAATTGTATGAATATGTTGCCACGACTCACGAAATCCAGCCCAAAGATTCCAAGTGAGTTTATTGTACGGCTTGTTAATTAAAAAGGTAGGAAAGTCTTTCGTTTTTTGACTTATATTGGCATCAGTCCCAGCTGTCAGCACGTATGATTAGGAAGTGACTCCATTTTTTGTACTTAGATGGGCATAGCGAATGTCACGTAGTCCTAAAAGTCAAAGCATTTGAGAAGCAGTTATACTATCACTAAAGTACAAAATACTTTCTGCATGTATTCATATGTTCTCTTTTCTCGTACAAAACTCAAAAAAAAGTTAAAATTCCAACCTAATTTGAGCACACATGTAATACTTTTAAAGTCCCAAGAAATGTATTTTACATGTTCTGCTGTACCATTAGTAAACGGGTGTACTAACAGACAATTGTTTTCGCTAGATTGTCTTTCAAAATCTGAATGCGGTGATAAAAAATCTGAATTTGGTAGGCATTTAGCCACTCAACGCTCAATGATGAAATTATAAGCACTTAGTTCTAAATTCCATTTCTGAACTACGGCAACAGATCAGCAATAAATTGACTTTGCCGAGTGATAAGTCCTTAACACTGATGCTGACCTCAGTAGTTTTGGAGGATAGACCTCACTCAAAGGCGCTTGCTCAAGCACTCGCATCAGACCATTTCGGGGAACATCGTGCTACTCATCCCCCGCGATAACTGACCATCTAGGATCACACTTTTCCAAATACCGACTATACCAAAAAATACCGTCGAACTCTTTGATTACTGATTTGTAGTGGGTGTCGTATCGAGGACGGACTATGATCACCACTACAATTCGATTACGCGACCAAAAACGACTTGGTTCCTTTGATAGCTCGTAAATCAGAAGGCTTTATTAATCCAGATCAAGTATATTTATTGGCGATCTCGTGGTATCGAAATAATACCGAGACGTGCCAAAGCGTACAGGCGAATAGGCAGAGCGTGAGCAAGTTCGAACCAAACAAGGCGGATAGCGAAACAAGAAGTGAATCTGATGCAGTAAAACAATCTCTGGTACAATTGGTTACAACAATAATAATTGTTTCTGTTATTCCAATCGTGTTCTTATCGACACTGGCCGGTCACTACAGACTTCTGGTTCGATTGGCTTTCGGACAATCAGTTAGAAAAATGTTGCAAACACAATACTTTTTAAGCTACCAATATAATAGACATCTTTGCGATTCTTCGCTTCCACAAAAACTCTCTACTAGAAACTGATGAAAAGTGAGGATGAAATTCGCATCACGTTAGGAACAAATCTGGAATAAAATTGAAGAGCACCAACCCATAATATAAAAAGTGAGTTATTCGTTGGTGACGATGGTTGAAATAACGGAGCTAAGTGACTCATATTAGGATGTAAAACCTCATATATTTACAGTGTAGCCCATGATGTTGATAAAATCAGGTCAAATCTGACACATGTAAGAGTTTACGGCCACGTATATGTCACAAAAGAGTTAAATGGATGAACGTCAATCAGATGTCAACTGCCAATTACTAAATGGCAAGGTGGACCATCCTCAGTTCTTACTAAGTTGAAACATGTTTCAAAATTATGGTATAATCACAATACAAGAATCTTGGCCAGAGGACTAACATGACTACTGTTTAGTATTGCTACTTGGTCTTAATGTTATCAGGAAAAGTGTAGTTGTGATGTAGTCACATTCATAAATATGAGGTGGTGTCAATTTAATTTCACAAACTTTACGTTTCCCAACTATTTGTCTACTGTTTAACTATAAGATGCCGTCCAAAACACTTGAACAAATACGTTTATGTTATAAACATTTGCACAACCCCGGATAGCTCATGACCTTCAGCATCTGTTTTCGTTGACTAATTCAACGGCTTTACTGCAATTGCCTCCAATTACTCACTTTCATTTATATGTAATTATCTTTATTCATGTGATTATAGCTTGGCTTCATCCCTAAGTCACAAAAATGTAGTAGATTCACCCACTCGTCTGGACTCCCTTTGGGCTTAGCTTTATGTAACGTTTAAGAGTATTTCAATTATAGTATAAACTAGTAATCCCAGAAATAACGCAATTTAATCAGGAAGTACAAGAGGAGCACAAACGAATGTATTGTATTTGGAATTCAAAATTACAACAGTCATCAATACAAACAAGTCATTGATTTATTGAAACATCACATCCGCCACAGCTCGAATTGGAGTGTAAGTGTCTGTAATCGATTGTTCGTCTTCTTCTTAAGTTTATCTTACATCTCTCCGACGGTGTATTGGATGTAGACTCTGCATTATCTAGAATGCACTCGTAAGTATTAGAATTAACAACCGAAATTGGAACAGACTCACCTGGTTTCTGGAATTGTATACAATCGGCATGTCGATTTTGTAGTGAAACCATTGATATTTAGAATTTGCATCATAGAATTGCCAACAATATCCTCCCCTACGAAATAATGTTGGGTCCTTACGTCGCAATGTTTTAGCCAATATGACATTTCCAATTTGCAGTATCTTTTCAAATATCACGCATCGACTACTGTATGTGAGTATTTGGGGATGAACACTGATATATAATTTGAGGTATTCCATCATGTGACTTTGACCTGAATAAAAATCATGATACATATTCTTTTTGTTATTCATATTAGAATACACAGATGAATATGCATTGATATATGTAATTAACACATGTGATTCAACTAGGCTTGATTTACCAGCGAAACAATCGAATAGATAACACTCATCTGCCTCTTATTCATTAGGATAATCTTGGACTTGATTTGGATTCTCTGTCTGTGCAAACTTCACTTCTGGGCAAGCTCGTTTTCTGATTATTTCGGTAAATTTTGCTATCCCCTCTGATTCATTATACCCCTGACTAGGGATTCTATTCAACATACATTATTCGTGAGAGTATCCAATATCTGATACA